AAGCTGAATACAAAAAAAAGTATTTTACTATTGAAAAATGAAAATGTGTTTTGTTGCCGTCTGATAGAGTTCATGTGACCATGGCATGTGTTACATGGTTCAATGATCAACGTTAAATTTTCGTGATTTGGTATTTTCACATTAACTATAAATAAAAGGTTACCTCCATCTAATCATATAATGATTGTTTATGTCTTCTTGACATGTTATGTTAGATCCACCCCACCTCATGCTTAGTATCATCATACAATGCTAATATTTCGTAGTGACATACGATTTACATTTTCTATAAGTTATCATATGTCAACCTCTTTTGTATAAAAAAATGATGATGAAAAATGTATATGACGTCTAACGGTGATCATCTTACCTTGACCATATATAACGCTAAGTTTTATGATGCATGATCTCAATGACTTTCCAACATCAAATTCAGTAAACCAGTTAAGCAGGCGAGAGCTTTCAATGTTTCTACTCTTCTTCAAACATGGAATTAACTCGAAATTATTCATAAACGTGAGCAAGTCACTTGCATGTTACTTTTAAAGAAAATATTTAATCTTTACAATTTTGTCTTCGAGTTCCTCTTTTGTCCTTTACAATTTATTGGTTATCTGTGGAACCAGAAACTGCCTATCCTCGCATAACAACTGAGTAAATTCTGGTTTCTGATGGGGTTCAGCTAGGTTTGTTTGTAGTTTTCTGTCCATTTACTTTTTGTTGACAGACGTTTTATCCTTTTGTCTTTTGTTTTCGCTTACGATATTGACTACTATTTCTTATTCTTATATCGAACTAAGTATAACAAGAGATGTAAAGTATACGTCAATTAGAAAGCAACCCAACGATAAATAAAATCAAAAGAAATCTTTTAGATCAACACAAAGTCTTCACACTACACAAATGTCTGTTATATTCAAGAACTAAATGGCCAACAGTCTAGTTAAATTGTGAACACTGTAATAGTAATTATATAATTTTGTCACAGTAAACTGTTAGTATTGCTGCTAGTTTATAGCGCACACATTGAAAAGAATCACCACGTTGTCGATTGGTTGATTGATTGATGTCTGTTAAACGTTCAGTGGCATTAATATTTCATGTATATTCAGGACAAGAACAAATGATACAAAGAGGTAGGTTATGGAAAGTATTTCGACCGAGATTAAGGGCGGCGAAGTTTGGACTACCACTTGAAAATTAGCGTATATTGGATAGGGGCAGAAATATTGCCTAGCAACAGGCAACCTATGGGCCCTCATAGAGTTGTTCCAATGTGTTAATGGCATGAAAAGAGCATATCATTCTCCCTACACGCGGCATCGACTTAATTGTCCCAATTCCAACAGGACGTGGCTGCATATTCATACATCCCGCACAGACAAATGGACGCTCCGCTTTAGAATAGCCGGGTTTTACTGCCGGATGGGAGTATTCCATGGATGAACATATTCCTATACGACAGCCAACCTTTGGGTTTGGTTGTCGTTTGATAAATGAAACACCTTCACTAATTATCATTTTCCGGTTGTATTGATACTAGAGAGATATAATTTATGATGTATCTTAAAATACTTAACAAAAAAGGTAAAGCAACAAATAAAATTCCAATACAATAGGTGTACGCCTGAAAATGATGTCAAGTCAGTAGCTTTTCGTTATCAAGGACGCGATTACATTTTAAAAGTAACGTACTGAGTATTAGATAATTGACAAACGGCATTTGCACGTAAAACATTTCTTTGAATTTGATCTAAAATGTGATGCAATGGTCTTTCACACCTAAGAAAATAAAAACCATGAGAGAACGATCACCATGTCTTTTATTTTGCATTATAGCAGATATTCAAATGGTGTACCAAATCACTAAAAATGTCAAAAAAAAGATTTTGAAGTAGGGGATATGCCAAATGAATGTATTTATGAAAATCTTAGAATCGAACATTAATGACGTTCCTTGCAGGAAAAAAAATTGCCATTACAAAAAATTGGAAATTAGTTTAGATTAAGGAATATATCTCCTCGTGCAAAGCTATGATTCCTTTCCCGGGTTTGGCTATACTTTTTGCCTTTTGTTTGTTGTTGTACAAGTATAAGCCCTTCATTTTTTCAATAAATTTTTGATTTTCGAGTATGTTGGCCTCGAATATCACTGAAGAGACATTTATTGTCGAAATAAATACATTGTGCGGTAAAATTGGTATCATTTACATTACATATGCATCTTATTATATTTATCAGATAACCGAATTCATCATGCGTACGGTTAGTAATTGATACACGTCCATTTTCTTGACAGGTAATGTTAGATCCACCCCACCTCATGCTTAGTATCATCAATTACTAACTCGATAACCCGTAAACAGTCGAAAACAAGCTCAAAACAGAAAACAAGTGTTTACTTCCCGAAAACAATATTTTATGAGTTTTTCATAGTTAATTATGATAAAAAAAAATTAAAAAAAGGAGAAGACAATATTATTACGATGCATGTCGATTTTCCTTAATTTCAACTTTAGAAATATGGTTTTTGTTGACTTGTATGTATGTTTATTTAAAACAGTATGGCGAACGCAATTATATATTATAGCAGTTTACATGGAGATTGAATTCTGTAATATTTGCTTGTCTGCCATCAGATCTTGGTGTCCGCGTTAGCAGTACGTCAGAGCTTTGCTTATATACTAAAGTTCATTTTAATCAAATCTAAAAAAGATAAATTATGAAATCAACATAGATATACGTCTTTGCAGACATATTCTACATCACAATGTGAAAACCCATTATTTGTATAATTCTATATTATCATTTGACCATTTTCGCTGTTCTTTTTTTTTATTTTGCCGATTATTTACTATTCTTTATATTTTAGCCCCCTATTATTCCCTTTTCTTTTTGTTTCCCTATTTTTCTCTATTCTTTATTTTTCTGCCTTTATTCTGCACCTTGTGTCCATTATTATCTATCATGTAAACCCCATCCCTCATACATGTCAAAACGGATATCGTAATCCCTATCGGTTAAAATAACTAGAAATATGATAATCCTTTGACGTATGTACTCGAAGACTTCTTTTATCTATCGTCACGTTTGTCAGTAAAATTACATAAAAAATTGACCATAGTTGCACTAGTAAATATACAGGTTAAACATGCCATAATTATATAGGTGAAATAGTTTAGGACGAACTTTATCACTGAAAAAGTCAGGTTATCTACAAGTCAAGTTAACAAGAGTGCTGGGTTCTATGAAAAGAAACGTTTGATGCCATGGACGCTTTGCATGTTTAAGAATCTTTATAAAAGCTGGTTTAGACCCATTTAGGGTACGGCAACATTTTATAATTAATTTCAAAAGTCTTATTCCAAAATATGAAGTTCGGTCCACAACACCGTTTGGTTCATTAAAAGACGCTTGGTATTTAGTACTAAAGATATTTAGTGTCAACCATATATACCTGATGTTTTGGTTATCACGTGGATAACATGTAAGGGTTGCCACATATTGCAACGTTTATATATCTAGATATATCATGTCGATACTTAGATTTGGCATTGCATTGACTGTTTATGACGTCTTTGCACTAATCCCATTGGATGTGTATTAAATGGTTGGAAAGATGGTTTATTTATTAGTCGCGAGTATTCTTAGATCGGTATATGGAGCTTTTTTGTCTTTTTGTTAGGGGTTTTGTGTGTGCTTAGTGTCAATCTGATAAGTTCAGCTTTTTCCAACTGATTGTTCTTATGTGGGTAAGGGAAGGGTTGAACGCTCACAAACATGTTTCACACCGCCACATTCTTCAATTGCATTCCCCAAGTCTCTCTTTAGCACGGCTTTTATTGTTTGATATCCTGCGTGTCTATATTTGAATATCCCAGTAAACTCTTGACAGTGGCGGTTTAGGGTTTGAAGGGCGTATGATCCCATTCGATTGGAAATATATCATTTATTAGCATTAAATCGTCTAAATGTTTTTCGCATCGCTAAACTCGGCGATATATCTTTTGTTTTATGGAATTCTGCCCCCTTTCAAAAATCCAGGATCCGCCCCTGCTTGAGTAACTTTCCTAAGCGAAAACTCAGTAACTGAGCATGTAAATTTCGGGAATAACAGTATGTACTATTTGCGGAAACGTAATATTTTTTTTTGTTGAAAAAATATACTGTGATTTTTTCATATTTGTGGAAATCTAATACGCCTGTTAATTCGACTGTGTCTCCTGCTATGCATATATCAATCGTCAGGAATTTTCAGTCAGGATAAACAACAGTTATAGCAATTTAAGCATAAGTGCAATGTTGACAAACATGAAATTATAGGTATGATAAAATCACGTAAGTTTAAATAACGTTCATGTGTACCTCATTTTAATGGTTAAAAAAAGATCGGGGGTCTCAAGAAATTATCACTTTACATAATAATGCCTATTTTGAAAGTCTGATCTCATTCATGTATAAGCAAGCAGTACAAAAACGGAATATACCAAAGATAAATTATTGGATAGTTTATAAAATAAGTAAATTTAATTTATGTTTTTAATATCAAACACCTGTCACAAGTAGCTGCCAGGAACAGTATAGACTCTATGGTTTATACAATATATCCGATGTTTCAATACCATATATTATACGTTACAAAAATAAAAAACAATCAAACTACTATATGTAGTAACGACACTACATATACTTAAGATTGAGCAAAATAAACCTTATATAGTAATGTCAATTTTCATCATTTTTAACATGATCTCAAGTCTCATTTATTCTGCATTTTTTCAATCCTTTTTTTTTAATATCAATGATTCAACTGTTTATATGACATTATATTATTAACGTTTATGTTGACACGAAAACGTAGAACCAAAACCATTCACATAATAGCATGTTTAAAATTTAAATCCAATCACATTTTACCTGACAATTTAAAATCATTATCTATCTAAATTAATTATCAGGCATAATTCATATCAAATACAGAACTAAAAGAATATTGCTACGTAATTGTTCCATATGATATAAGGTAGGTGTGAATGACATCTCTACAGGAGGGAGATATATAATGCAGAGGCACTTCGATATGGATGCAAAGAAGAACAGGTGAACATACAGTTAACAATGAAACTTACACACACTTCTGTTTTTATGTTTTTAATGCTTGGAACTTTTGTCCATACCTGGCCATGGAGAATTCCAAAACAGTACTTACAAATTATTCAACGTAAGTAATTTTTATACCGTTAAGTTCTTATTACTATTTTATATCTTTCAACTATGTTAGACGTTTATAAACATCGCTAAAACTACTGTCGCCTTAATTAAAACTTTGTTGAAAATGCAGGAAATTATAAATAAAAAAAACAATCACAATATACTATGATTACCCTTAGTTTTATTGAACCTTTTGTTAATCCGTTTCCACTAAAACGGACATATTAGGCATTGTATTTTTTCTTACATCAAACACTGTGGTCACCATTGGATTGAAAATTTATACAGTTAATCTTTTCGTTTAAATTGTTAGACTTTGAGTAATACCTGCTACCATTGAAACGATATAAAAGAATTGTGGAAACGAAATTATGCTTTTGATTGTAATCGTTTAGTGATCAGCTAGTATCCTCCGTCCCACTTTAAAAAAGGGGGCAATGAGTATTGTGAATTAGGCATTTTTTCATCAAGACTAGCTTGCTTTCGATATCTGACCATTACAAGAATATTATTTTAAACAGCAACTATATCTACAGTGTTCAGTATATTTCCCATTTTCTTTAAAAGAGAAGTGTTTTTCATGAGTATGCTTTGCGGTTTTTAAAACGTTGCAATATCTGGGGAAATATTATAATTGTGGTTAACCTTTTCTAAACATAAAGTAACAATTTTGTCGAATTTCTTCAAGTAAAAGGAATATTTAATTTAGCTACAGGATAAGTGGCACAAATGGACCGATTTTACACAAAAAAATAACGTGAACATTTTGATTAGATTTATAAAGAGCACACGCATTATCCAAAATAATCCTTTAATCAACTAGTAGATAAATATAATCCACATGCTATGTGAATATCTCATTGGGCGAGGAATATGCTGTTTATCCTTTCTGAACTTGGTTTAAGTAAAATGAGGAAGATAATTTCGTCATTTTACTGAATTAACTCTCGAATTAAAGCTGTATAATCAATGAAAATAGAATAGCTTTATCACGAAAATTAGCACTATTAGATTCAAGGTTTAATTCTGCAATTTTTTGTTAATTTGAAATAAAAGTTAAGCCCAAAATCGTATATTCTTTTATCGTATTGACAAAAGACTAAAGGGACACATTATGAATTCAGATGATAACGATTATGGTAATAATTATAAATTAAATAATAACTATTTAAACGATTTAAAAATTTTCGAAATACTAAGGATGTTCTATTCGGGAATAGATTACCTCAGCTGTATTTGACAAAACCTTTCGAAATTTTTAGATTCCCATACCTAAGCTGTGTTTGATAAAACCTTTTGGAATTTTGGGTCATCAAAGCTCTTCAGTTTCATTTTTCTTCATACTTTAATTGGTCTATTCAACTTTTGTTATTAGAGCTTCACTAATGAGTCTTTTATAGACGAAACGCGCGTCTGGCGCAAATACAAAATTTCAATCCTGGTATCTATGATGAGTTTATTATAGACGAAACGCGAGTCTGGCGTACACAACTTTAATCCTGGTATTTATATGGTGAGTTTATTAGCAAGAAATGATGCAAATGTGATTTTCATGAAGTATGAAAAATTCCGAGTTTCAGTTTGAGGTGTACGTTGATATATTAAGATCAAAATAAAGATAACTCAGTTAATGTTTTATCAAAGAGTAAGTGACAATACTCTAAAAGCATCACATTTGCTGATCTTGTATTACAGTTTTGACGCTGATCTTGTATTACAGTTTTGAAGTAAAAAATGACGGGTTTTTTTTTGCTTTAAATCGAATATTTCAAAAAAATAAAATTAACGAATGACCTCAATTCTTGTGTTGCGGAAATTTCTGAAATAAAAAGTTCTTTGTAAATATTTTTTTACTTATTTATCTGATTTGCGTCAAATGCTGAAAATAACTTTTCCTCTATATGTGACAACGACAATTTTATACTTTTCTAACTATCCGTACCTATTAAAAAGAATGTTTGGTTAATGATATTTAATGGTTCTCATATCCAATGCAAAAACAATGCTCCAAAGTCTCTGTCATGGCCTTCGGATTTAAAAACATTATCAAGGTTTTACAATGTCGCTGTGTTTTATGGTTATTTTAGTTAAACGAGGGCATGTTCATCTCGAAATTAGGACAACCATTATAGGGGTATGTTCTCCCATCAAGGTTAATCGACTTTTGACATGAGTTATCAAACAAGATTCGTCTTCAAATCTATCTTCTGATTTGTCATGATGAGAAAAAACTAAATAGTGAAAAAAACTTTAATTTCTACAAAATAAAATACATATTTCATTGTTAATGTCGAGTTATTTATGGCCTCAAGTTAATAAAATTATGTGGCTTGAAAATAAGTGCGTCATTTCGACGACATGAGAGTTAGCAATATCATAATGGCTATCAGATGTAAAGTATATGAACAATACCGGTGCAACTGCATCCTTCATAGACATTCAAAATTGTTTTGGACCTTAATCAATTCAGCGGTAAATATATGTGTGTATATGATTACATAGTTACATTGCCTTGCATGGTTCTTTCCAATGCAAACCAAACATTTTTTTAATGTAACTCACCTGAAAAGTAGACTTTTTGTGGACATCGCATGCAATATTTAAATAATGCAACTGTGATACAAAGAATATACTGTGGATAAATGCTGGTTACAGTTTTGACGCATACATTTCTATTTTTGTTTAGAGGGAATATTCCAAAGTAGGTTATTTTTTTATTAAGTGTCAACTGAGGTAATTAATTTGGGCAAATTTCATAGTGTGAACACGGCATAAGGTTCCAACTCCCTCAGACAAAGTTGACCTTAGAGTAATTTGACAAATCTTTCTCTTATCCTTTTTGGTCATACAGATCCTCACGTTTCTAAGTATTTATACATCCTCGCTTTAAGTTTGACCTTTCCTAATGAAGGTCAAGCCAGAAAAGTGCATCGGACGCACTATAAAGTGTTAATTTCATTTTGTGAAATTGCATCAGTTAACTATTATCATAGTAATGCCTGTCCGGAAACTTATATAGAAATAAGAAGATGTGACATGAGTGCCAATGAGACAACTCTCCATCCAAGTCACAATGCGTAAAATGTGTAAAAAGTAAACAATTAAAGGTCAAAGTACAGTTATGTACACAATTAAATATCTATATATATATATGTAAGAAATGCGAATCAAATGACAGTTAAGTTATAAAGTAACTTAGCATTATGAAATTCACAATAGCATTATTCTGTGCTTTCAAATATTTGGTAAACACGCGTTTTTATAAAACAGAAATCCGTTCGAATACTCTTGGTAAATTGATAATACGGACATACAGTATTACTAATCAAAACGAGTCTGTTGACTTGAAATCAATGCTACTGTATTCGTGCTGCTATGGATTTGTTTCAAACTGAGTATTGCAATAGCTATAGTGCCTTAATGATAGATCCAGTTTCAAAGATGTAAAATCAGACCGAGTTTTATGTAAACAACTGAAAATGGAAGTTTCTTCCAGAACAAAAACCAATTGACGCTTATTCCCTAGTACGCGAGATATTTGTAGTTACCTCTAGATACTTTTAGGTAATTTGAGTCCTTGAATTGCTGTCTCATTGCCATATATACACAACATCTACTTTTACCCATTGTAGTTTCTGCTAAGTTTTCCTAATCTAGTATCTTGCGCACAAGCATTCAACACAGATGCACGCTACGTTATTGTTTTATTCATAATCATTACTAGTATTTTGGATAAGTGATGTTCATATGTATTTTTGGAAAAACATTCTACCGACCTACCATAAAAAGCTCTCCCAGAAGGGCTTATAGAAAGCATAACTATGAAATAATTGTCAGGTTAATGAACGAAAACTGAAGTTTTTGATCATAAAAACTAGTGTTTCATCACACTTTCTCCTCCTTTCAGTTGTTGATGTAACGTACAGAAAGCACATTAGATACTATCAACCAACAACCAGTAGTCAAAAGAGCTAAGATGAAAAACTAAACATTAAAAGCCTTATCTTTATTAAATTCTTCCATAGATACAAAGATTTGGTTTGTAAGTTTGGCTGTACCTGTAGAAAACTTATTTCAAACGGGATAGTACATTCTAATTTTTACGGAGATGTTGTTAACCGAGCACGGAAATTTAGATACGATCCGGGTAAACTAATCGATCCTTTAAATAAACTTATTCAAAAAAGGTTACTAATTCAACACTGTAATAAGTTCTTTAAATATTGTTTTTATTGGTATAAATATTGATGTTGTTATCAGTAAATTAAAACCAAACTAATATTATTGCACATTCGCGGTTCTACAATCTGTCGATACCTGCATTTTGGCATTGCACAAGGTCGTGTTTTTCTCTGACTGTTAATGACGTCTTTATACTAAATCCATTGGATGTTGGATGTGTGCTGATTGATATTTTAGTCTTAGATACATGATTTTTTAGTAGGTGTTATTGGCTTTGAACCAGCTGTCAGTAATTGCGAGTACTCTCATATCAGTACTTAGTGTCTTTTGTTGTTGTAGGGATGTATAAATACCTGTCACGTCGGGTCTGTGTTTTTGTTACTTGTTTTTCTGCTTTGTATCGATCTGATGAGTTAAGTCCTTTTCAACTTATTTGTATAGCTTTTTCATATGTTGTACTGTTAAACCACTGTCCAAGGTAAGGGGAGGGGTCGACGTCCTCTAACATGTTTAACCCCGCCACATTCTGTATTGGCCTGTCCCAAGCCAGGAGCCTCTAATTTCGTGGTTGTCTTTTGTTGCTGTACATCATATTTATATTTCGTTCATTGTTTTTTTTTACATAAATCAAGCCGTTAGTTTTCTCGTTTGAATTGTTTTACGTTTCATTTCGGGGCCTTTCATAGCTGACTATGGTGCGGTGACCTTCAGTTGTTAACTTGTATATCATTTGGTCTCTGCTAAAGAGTTGTCTCATTGGCAATTATACCTCATCTTCTCATTTTCATATTTACACTTCTATCAAAGTACATGAACCATGACAGAGAG